ATATATATATATATATATATATATATATATATATATATATATATATATATATATATATATATATATATATATATATATATGATTTGTTTTGATGTTTGAGTTCGGCCAATTAAATTTAGATTTGTTTAAATTTATATATTCATATGTTTTAAGATTTGTTAAATTTTTATAAGTGTTTGTTTAATTTTTTATAATATCTTATTATATATTATTTTTAACAACTAAACATAATATATTTAAATAGTTATAGAAGAATAAAATAAAATATATTAACAACTATATATTATTATTTTTAATTTAATATAGTACTAAATATATTATTAGATTTATTTAACATTTTATAAAATATAAAATATATTATACATAATATATTAACTTATAAATTAAAATAACTTTTTTATTTAATAAGTGTTATTTTATATAAGTAAATTATTTTTGAAAATATAAAATATATTAAACATAATATATATATATATATATATATATATATATATATATATATATATATATATATATATATATATATATATATATATATATATATATATATATATATATATATATATGTGTGTGTGTGTGTGTGTGTGTGTGTGTGTGTGTGTGTGTATATATATATATATATATATATATATATATATATATATATATATATATATATATATATATATATATATATATATATATATATATATATATATATATATATATATATATATATATATATATATATATATATATGTTCTGGTCTGGGCCCAGCCTCGCGATACAGCCCAATAACGCACAAAGACCCAATAAGTGAAATAGCTTGACCGGGCATACTCCCCCTTAGGACGGGCATGATACGCTCTCCGCCAAGCGGAGTGGCATGTCTCGAAGCATCCTCGGCGCCCCCCTTGTTAGCCGAACAAAGGGCCCTCCACGGGCGACACTCTCCGTGCCATCGGGCAAGAACCCTTGGTTCTCTCACTTCCTCGCGTGCTCCTCGTGCCATCGGGCAAGAACCCTTGGTTCTCCCACGTCCTCACGTGCTCCCCTCCGCTGGGAGAACCACACATCCCCGAGGAACCTCCCGAACTCCCCTCCGCGGGGAGAACAACGTGCGATACGCACGTTCTCCACGTGCTCCACTCCGCGGGGACACGTCAACAAACAACTGCCCACCTCCGAAAGAGCCGGTCAAACCCACTTTCCGGAGATCTAGAGACAGTTGGATTAGGGCGAAGACCACGTCCGGGTCTTCACTACGCCACGTAAGCCCTAGCAGTCACTTGAGTTGGGACTGGCCATCCAGCCCAACACAAGTGACCGTTGGCCTTGTGCTGGGGTCTCTCTATAAATACCCTCTTCCTCAAGAGGGTCAGGTAATTCACTTCTTGCCCATTTTCTGTACTTTGCTCCCATTCCGCCCAACTCCTTACTTTGGCATCGGAGTGTTTTGCAGGTGCACCCCCCCCCCCCCCTTCTCCTCCTCATCACCGGTGAACAGTTAGCAGTCCAACAACGTGTGGCCAGCCCGTGATCCCCTTCTGATCAGGTCAGATCAATATATATATATATATATATATATATATATATATATATATATATATATATATATATATATATATATATATATATATATATATATATATATATATATATATATATATATATATATATATATATATATATATATATATAAAAGTATAGTTTTTTATAAGTAAGTAAGAAAATAATATTTGAGTAAGTATATATTTCTTAAAATATCTATTATGAAGTTAGTAACAATATTATTAAGTAATAGATTTTTTTTGAATTAGGGATATATTTATTTAATAAGTATTATATGTTAAGTAAGTATAGTTTTTTTAATTAAGTATTATATAATATGTAAGTAAATATATTTAGTAAATAATAATTTTATATATGTAAGTATATATAGTTTTAAGATAAGTAAATATATAAAATTTGAGTAAGTAATTATATTTTTTAAATAATAAATATAATTTGAGAAATTATATATTTTTTAAAGTAAATAATATTAAGTAAGTAAAATTATTATTAATTAATTAAAAATATTATTAAGTAATATATATTTAGTATGTATATATTTATTTTTAAGTAAATATTATTTAGTAAAAAAATATATTTATTATGAGGAAGTAAAGATATATTAAGTAATGTTTTATTATTTAAGTAAGTATATATATTAAGAATAGTTATGAAATATAGTATTTATAGTAAGTATATATACTTATAAAATATACAATTTGACTAAATATATATAGTATTAAATGTAGTTATATTTAAAATAATGTGACAAAATTATATATATATTAAAATTTTATTTTGAATTAAAATGGTAATAATTGTACAAATATTCAATATGAAATATTATCGATACTATCATAGTTGGATTTACGATAGACTGTATCGAAAAATACAAATGTGCAATATGGTAATGATTGTACAAATGTGTCGTATGGACACATTTTTAATTAGTCTAAGGATTTGAGGAGACACCAGCAAATGAATAAGCTGGTTGCAAAGGTCTGTCTTAAAAAATTAGAGAATTTTGTTGACGAATATATCAGATTGACTTTCGTAAGTTGTTTATATTATATTATGTTATTTAAATTAATTTCTGTATATTAATAAATTGTTTAAATTTTTTTAATATTAATGATAAAGTTGTGTCGTGATTTTCATGTAGCAAATAATTTAATGTTTGTGGTGTAAAAATCACGTGGATATATTTTATTATTTTATTTTATTTAATTCTTAGATATATATTGTTTAAACTATATTTCATTTTTTTTATGTGCTGAAGGACATATGAGACATTGCTCGCAGAATTTTCAGTTCAAAATCCCCAATATATTCTGATAGGTTCAAATCAGATTGATGATCGTGTGAATATTTATAATTGAAATTTAGTAATTGGTAGGAAAGGACCTAACGGGTGTTTATTTGATGTTGGATCTTTGGTTGAGAACTATAGAGAAGGAAGGAATATAACATTATTTGAAAGAGTTGCGAATGGGAAAGGATTGTCATGTCCATAATATTTGACACCCCAAATGATGAAAATAGTGCGACAATTGACGCTAACTGAGGCGATACAGAAGGCGGCAATAAATGCCCAAATGGAAGAAATGGAGAAGAGACAAATTAAGATGGAGGAAATAATGGACGATTGCTCTCACAATAATGGAATCAAACAAATAATTCAATGGATGATGATGATGATGTGGACAAAGATATAGGGGATGATGATGTTGATTGATTTTTTTATTGCTATTTTACTTTTAATTTTTAAATATAATTTTTTGTAAAATATTTGTAATTATTTTGAATTTAATCATTTTTAATTGAAATTTATATTTTTAATTATTATTTAAAAATATTAATATTTTTTATTAAAAATAAACTTAAAATTTTTTATTATTAATTTCTTATTTTAATAAATTGAAATTATTAATTTCGTATTTTAATAAATGGAAACTATTAATTTCGTAATAAATAAATTTGTGAATAATTTTTTATTAATTTAGTAATTAATAATTTTTTAAATAAAAAAAATTTATGACATGGGAAACACGATGCTATATAAAATTTACTTTTAAATAATTTTCACGCGTCTAAATGATATTAACCTATATAAAATTTCCAAAAAGTTTAGACCGCTCTAGTTACATTAAAAACTTTATAGACGGCTCTAATAACATCTTGCATTAGACTTGTTTTACTCTCATTCATGTCGTTTCACATTTCTATGGTCTACTTTCGCTATGTACTATTTCATAAGTTTTGCTACAAACAAGGAAGGTAAGCAAAAAGTCAAATTATACGATTACCTTGAATTTTGAATCTAACATGAATAAAACAGTCCAAAAAGACATAGAATTGTTACTTAACCCTATTTAATGAAATTAAAATTAGGAGAAAGAACAAATGTTTATACGTATACAAAGTTGGACGGTTTTGCACATGCGCAGCAAAGCATGACTTTGTTCTCCATTTATTATGTCTTCTTGCTGTCGTTCTATACATTCTTGTGAACTATCCTTATCAAAGAAGAAACATTCTTATTAATTCGAGTACGTAACCACTCCATTTCTTAATTACTCCATTTCTCCATTTTGATTAACCGATGCATGACACGTGGTATTAAAAAATTTAACGGTTCAGATCAATAATTAAAAATAACAATTTAATTAATAATAAGAATTTAATTAATAATAACCTTTTGTCATCTAAAATACATATCTTTCTCTCTTCCTTCATAGTTCTTGCTCAGAATTGATACCATCTCCAACAGTGAAGTGTCTCACTCTCGTCTATCCACTGCTGCTCGGTGCTGTTCGACAGTCGTCACTCACCGCCGTATCACTGCTGCTGTCATCTATTTTGTCGCTTGTCGTCATATCATTACTACTGTCACGTATAATTTCGCCGTCACAATTCTACTGTATTTCGCCGCTACTATTTTTGTTAAGGTATTACTGTTTTCAAAATTAAAACTTTGTTCTTAATCGAGTTCGTTGTTCTTGACTATGAATAAGTAAAAAAAATTCATTTGAAGTTTACTGTTGTGAAAAAAAAATTCATTTGATTTCACTTTCAGTAACCTGTTATGAAAATGGCATCTGTTTTTTCTTGAGCATTACTGTGATAATATACATTGCCGGTTTGTGAAAAGTCAATTTTCAATACGAATAATATATTATTGTTATTAATGAAAAGTCTATTTTCAATACTAATATATTTACTGTGTTAATATTATTGTTTTTATCTACTGTTACATTGGTTATATATATATATATATATATATATATATATATATATATATATATATATATATATATATATATATATATATATATATATATATATATATATATATATATATATATATATATATATATATATATATATATATATATATATATATATATAGTTTTTAATGAAAAGTCAATTTTCAATAATAATAATATATTATTGTTATTAATTCAGAGAAGATGAGTTCGTCATCAACTTTGATAGTCGACTGTGAAGAAAATTTATTGAGTAATATCCATGAACAGCATGTGCAACACAAGCAAGAGAGTGTTGTCAATAGTGAACCACATTTGGAAATGAAGTTTGAATCGGAGGCGGCAGCTTATGATTTTTATAATGAGTACAGCAAAAGAATTGGATTTGGTATTCGTCGAGAATATGCAAATAAAAGTAAAAAAGATGGAGTTTTGACTTCAAGAAGATTCACATGCTTCAAAGAAGGTGTACGTGGTGTTGACAAGAGATATCAGATGACGGGGGAACACACTAGAGCAGAAACTAGAACAGGATGTCAAGCGCGTATGGTTATTTCACTTGATCGGAAGATAGAGAAATATAAAGTTGTTGACTTTGTAGCACAACATAACCACCCTCTTCAGCCGCTAGAGTATGTTCATATGATTCGCTCTCATCGGCGCATATCTGAAGCACAAGCATCACAAATTGTATTGGGAGATGAATCTGGATTAACACCAAAAGATTTACATGAATATATATCAAAGCAAGTTGGTGGGATAGAGACAGTTGGTTTTACAAGACGAGACCTTAAGAATTATCTTCAAACCAAAAGGATGCAATCACTAAAGTATGGTGAAGTGGGTGCATTGATGATGTATTTCAAACAAGAAAGTGAAAATCCATCATTTTTCTATGAATTTCAAATGGATGTTGAAGAGCAAATAACAAATATATTCTGGCGGATGCACAAATGATAAGTGATTATGGATACTTTGGTGACGTTATCACTTTTGACACCACATACAAGACAAATAAGGATTATCGTCCGTTGGGAGTTTTTGTTGGACTCAATAATCATAAGCAAACTGTCATTTTTGGGGCAGCTTTATTATATGATGAAACAATCCCTTCCTTTAAGTGGTTATTTGAAACCTTTCTTAAGGCAATGAATGGAAAGAAGCCTAAAACAATTCTAACAGATCAAGATGCTGCAATGGCTAAGGCTATTTCTTTAGTTATGCCAGAAATATTTCATGGATTATGCACTTGGCATATAAGACAAAATTCTCTAAGGCATGTGAACCATCTATATCAAAAAAGTCCACAATTCTCTTTGGATTTTGAGGCATGCATAGACTTACACGAAGAAGAAGGAGAATTTTTAAAAGCATGGAATTCTTTACTTATTGAGCATAATGTTTCGAAAGGATCATGGCTGCATATGATTTTTCAGTTGAAGGAAAAATGGGCATGGACTTATGTTCGTAAAACATTCACTGCAGGTATGAGATCTACTCAATTAAGTGAAAGCTTTAATGCTGATTTGAAAAACCATTTGAAGTCGGATTTAAATTTGGTGCAATTTTTTACACACTTTAAAAGGGCTGTCAATGGTAAACGGAACAATGAGGCCGAAGCAGAATATGAGTCCAAACATAAACTACCTAGGTTGAAAATGAAGAAGGCTCGTATGCTCGTGCAAGCGGGAAATATTTACACTCCAAAATGTTTTGAGGAATTCCAAGAGGAATATGAGGAATATCAAGACACTTGCATAAAGGAGTTGAAAGAAGGTATGTATGCTGTTACAAATTATGGCAATGTAAAGGAGAGGATAGTAATGGGTGATCTTACGGAACACAGAGTTTCTTGTGATTGTCGTAAATTTGAGACACACGGCATCTTATGCAATCATGCTTTGAAAGTTTTAGATGTCATGAATATTAAGTTAATACCAGAACAGTATATACTAAAGCGGTGGACAAGAGATGCAAAGTTGGGAAATAATCAAGATTGGAAAGGAAAACATGTTGAGTTAGACATGAAAGCTCATTTCATGAAGCGGTACAATGAGTTATGTCCTCGAATGATTAAATTGACCAATAGAGCTTTCGAGTCTCACGAAACTTACACATTTTTGTCCAAAGTTTATGAAGAATCCAACAAAATAGTTGATGACATGTTGACCAAAAAGTATGTGGATATAGAATCAAGTGGAAAGGTTCATGTATCTATTTCAATTGAAAATAAGGAAATTGACAACAAGGCGGACACTACTTGCGGGGCAAAAGGCATAAAGAAGCGAGATTGTTCACGTAATAACAAAAAACGTGATAAATCTTGGGTTGAGAAATTGGCTAGAAAGACAAAGAGATATTCACAAAAAAAGAGAAAATTGCAAGAAAATCTAGTTGACACAGCGAGACTTCCTAGTCAAGTTGATACAACAGGATTTCAATATCAAGCTTCGAGTCAAGCTGACGACGAAGTTGATATAACGGGATTTCAACAACAAACTTTATGTCAAGTCGACACATTGGAGCTTCATAATTTCTTTTAAACATATCATTGAAGTTATTAAACATGTTTTATTCTCTGTTATTTTTCCTTCACATTGGAGCATAAATTTTTGTTACCTGATATGCTACTTCTGTTTTGGTTATTTTTATCACCTTTAATTAGCTACAATGAAAAATTACAGACTTTATGTTATAATGAAAAATTATGTTATAAGCATTATGTTATGGCTACAACAGAAATGTATCTTCTATGCAATATATGCTATGGCTACAACAGAATTAATTAGCTTGTAACAATATTTTCTATAGCTACAATGGAAAATTACAGGCACACTATGACATGGCTACAAAAAAATGTACAGTTTGTAACAATATCTTCTATGGAAATTTCAAAGGCTAAACATATACTTGCAAAAGTAATGAACCATGATTGTAAAACAAGATTGTAAAACAATTATTCCTTTAGAACAATCATTTCTTCCTTGAGTCTTAAAATTGTAAACCAGATTGTAAAACAATTATTAGTCCCAAATTGTAAACCAGATTGTAAAACAATCATTTTTGAAATTTGATTACCTGCAATAAAACATAAGAACCACTGATTGAAATTTTATTAGTCTCATATACCTGCAGGTATATGAAATTTTATTATTGATGGTATATGAAATTTTATTAGTCTCGTATACCTGCAATAAAAACAATCATTTCACATAAACCAAATTGAACCTGCAATAAAACATAAGAACCACTTATTGAAAATTTATTAGTCTCATATACCTGCAGGTATATGAAATTTTATTATTGATGGTATATGAAATTTTATTAGTCTCATATACCTGCAATAAAACAATCATTTCACATAAACCAAATTGAATCTGCAATAAAATTGAACCTGCAGTGAAATTATAAACCTGCAGTATAATTAAATCTGCGTTTTTTTTTACTAAAAGAACAATCCAAAATAATCACATCAGAACTATTAAGTTGTAATGCCACATAGCAAATAATATTTTGTATTAATTTGTAATTTGATTACAACTAAAATTGAGTGAAACTCTAGAATTACATAAGTTTTTTATCTCTAAAATTGTATACTAAAATTACAGCTTAAAACTAATTACATTCAAATCATCTCTAAAATTGAATTCCAATAATCCTAAAATTGACGGTGTCGGCGATCAAAAATCTTCAAATTCAGATTTTAAGTTGTTGCTAAAAAACTTCAATTCAGACTTTAAACTGTTGTGCAAAAGCATGTCGATGTCGGTAACGGCGAAAAGCATGTTGATGTCGGTGACGGCAAAAAACACAACCGTGTCGGCAACCCAGAGAAAAAACATCAATAACATAACGGTGGCAGAGATGAAGCTTGGTGGAGAAAAAGAACGTGAAAAACTGAAGTGAATAAAATAGAATCTTGTGTTAAGATATGTATTCTAAAAGACAAAGAGAAGAAGCTTGGTGGAGGAAAGTAACGTAAAACACTGAAGTGAATAAAATAGAATTCTAGGTTAAAATATGTATTTTAGAAGACAAAAGGTTATTATTAATTAAATTCTTATTATTAATTAAATTTTTATTTTTAATTATTGATCTGAACCGTTAAATTTTTTAATACCACGTGTCATACATCGGTTAATCAAAATGGAGAAATGGAATAATTAAGAAATGGAGTGGATACGTACTCTATTAATTCACGTTGGACGTGATGTAATAAATTTAGAAATTAGTATGATACTTCGGTCTCACTTTCAATCTAGAAACTATTAATGCTTTTCACTATCATCATATATGCAAGTTCAAAGTCATAAAAACATCTCCCTTTATTAGGCTTATACGCATGCAGAAGAGACTGAGAAATTCTCCAATTTTAGGGACCAAATTGTGGTGACAAAAGACGCAGAAGATCGTGCTATTAATATACTTGGCTCTGAATGGTTTGACGGCACCGCTTAATAGCACTTATCAGATTCACTCCTTATATAGCTATGCTCATTTTTCTCGTCTTTCAAAAAGTCAAAATTGTAAAGGTTAGTATATTTGAAAGACTAGAAGATACTCTTTCCGTTTTAAAATAATTGTGTTTAAATTTTTTTTGCACACAAATAAAAAAATGCAATGATATTGTCCTAATATATTGTATTTTTAGTAAATTAGTCTTATTAATGTGTTGAAAATAGTGTACAAAGTAATAATTATGACACAATTTGAAAAAATAGCAATTATTAATATATTGAAAAGTGAGAATTATATTTATTCTCAAACAAATTTTTTTTTTAAAACGACAATCATTTTAAAATGAAAGGACTACTATTTAAAAGTTGCATTTCTTAAATGATTAATTTCTTTTGAGGTTAATATCTCTTTGATCCCCGTCTATTTGGACCATTTTAGGAAGATTTCCGTAAAAAAAATTTGGATTTACCCTAACCTTTCAAGAGACCACGTTTTTTCATCCTTATTGAATCCAGTCAATTGAAAAGTCAATATATCATTGATATCATTGATATGTATGTTTTTTTTTATTTTTAAATAATTTTCACGCGTGTAAATCAGTATGCATAGTTACTAAACTATCCTTAATCTATCTTTAACCTCACATGTGAAACAGAGAAAGGGAAATCATAATCCCTAAATTTATTTCCCTTCATTCTTCTTGTCTTCTCTTCATTTCTCTCGTCTTCTCCTTTATCCTTCTTCGTTTTCAAAGTCAAACCATGATATCTATTCATCCATAGAAAATGAAAATATCATAAAATTCAAAGTTAGGCATGTCTTAAAATGGAATAACCCCTTCTTGATATCATAATGTTGCCATGAAGATGTTTGTTTCTAAGTCAACTGCAAACCTAGGAAGAAAATATTGGTAGTGCAAGTATTAAAGCAAAGAAGAAAATTGCGTTGTATTCCACTAGAATGATGAAGTTCTTCTCAAAGAGCAAGAGAAACAAGTCAAAATGAAGGGGAAATGATACACCTGTTGAGGAATTTTGGAGAGTAATTTAGAAAAGAGGTTGAGAAAGAGGTTGAGAAAGAGATTGAGTCTCAACTGTGTTCAAAAGAATTGGAAGAGTTGAAGAAAAATATTTAGAGCTTAAGGAAGAAGATAAACATTGTAATAGTAGTAGTATTTTGTTCTAGGGTTTTGTTTCTTAAATTTTTTTGGAGCATGTAATAGAATATTATGTAATAAGTTTGATGTGTAGCAGTGTTGGAGTTTAATCTAATATATTTTAAATTAATGAAGATGAAGTTTTTCTAGTTTACAAAGTTGACATTAATGGTTTATTTTGTTGAAGTAAGTTTGCGACATAGTTTGGACATAACTTTTGTTGTAGTAAGTTTGTGACATAATTTGGACATAACTTTTGAAGACAATAAACATCTAAATTGATCATAGTAAACATACTAAATTGATGACAGTAAGCACAGTTCCATGATAACATAACATAAAATAAATTCCATTACATGTTGATCTAAATTAATCACATATTGTGCAGTAGAAAAGATTACAAAATGAGCACATATTTTGCATATCAAAAGGTTCCAAAATGAGCACATAATGTGCATAAAAGAGATGTTCTTAAGAATTACAAATCGTATTATAATAATCACTACTGAGTCAGTTGCCTTGAAATTTCATCTCATGTCTTCATTTTCTTTACACAAATACCAATTTTGGGGTCTTCATTTTCTTCATCAATTTGCAATGGTGTTGTAGCACCCCAAAATCCACCATCCATTTTGGTAACCTTAATTGGCTTATGCTTCTTTTCACTTGCATCGTCATTGGTTCTAGACATGGTATCAAGGTATCTTTGGTGGTCCTCAAGAGGAGGAGATGGTTCTCAAAGCAATGAGTATGGAGATAGTATCAACATCATGGTATTCTTAAGCTACAAGGGTTCCATACTCATCAAAGTATCTCAACAAGTTTACCCAATCATCTGAAGATTAGGATTTTATTGGTTTCAAAGGCATTCATCTGATCAAGCTCCTAGTGGCTCAGAGCTAGTTTTTTTTGTCAAAGGCTACTTATGATTGTCACTAGTGCAGAAATGATTTTTTACATCGGGCAAAATTGACTTTTTACATCGGGTCTTAGTCCGATGTAAAGCCAGGCGATGTAGTAAATACCAACATTTTACATCGGTTATGTGGTCCGATGTAAGAAATACACCAATCACATCGGTTCAATTTTTATGTTTGATGTGAAAAAAAATTATAATTCTAAATTTTAAATATAAAAGGGGGTTTTTACATCGGTTGCGGGGAAAAACCGATGTAAAAGGTGGATATTTTACATCGGTTGCGTGCCAAAACCGTTGTAACAAGTACTGTAAGAAAAAAAAATTTCATGCTGCCACTTTTTACATCGGTTCGCTGGTAAACCCGATGTAAAAGGTAGACCTTTTACATCGGTTTGATGTTTCACCCGATGTGAAAAGTAGTGTTGGAAAAAAAATTTGCTGACACTTTTTACATCGGTTATGTGTTTAAACCGATTTAAAAGGCAGTTTTTTACATCGCTTTTTTCATTCGCCCGATGTAAAAAGTACTGTTACGAGTATAAATTATTTTCCTATTTTTTAGTTGTTCCCTGTAACTATTTTGTACCTAATTTTTCATATTTTTCCAACATTACACAGACCATAATTAGGTCGCTATTTTCCATATTGCACATCATATATACCACATTTAGGTCACTATTTTCATAGTTTTGCAACATCACATAGACCATATTTAGGTCATTATTTTCATATTTTTCTCATAAATCTAATTTGATTGCACCAAATATCTAGTATACACATAATTGATTCACAAAAGGATATACACAAACGTACTAACAATAAAAAGGCCGGTTAACCTTTACACACAAATGTGCTAACAACAAAAAGCTACACAAATGTACTACAACAACAAAAAGATTAACCTTTATATAATTCAAAGAAACATGTTGCCCAACGGAGTCGCAAATCATCGGGCGATAGGTTAGTTGGGTCATCAAATACCTACAACACGTAAGTAAAAATAAAGTTAT